CACTCCTGCGAAAGTGTCAACGTTGGCGTAAGCGAGATAAGTGACGAGTTGTACGGCATCCCAATAAACACCAAGTAACGAAAACGTTTACACCCTAGCGGAAAAATTTGTATAAATAACTACAAAAATTGACTTTAAATTTAAATTTGTAGAAATTTTTACATCTTCGTTGAAACATTAATTTTTTTTGTAAAAATAAGTACAAGATAGTTGCACAAATTACTATGTTCTCGAATCAAGAAAATATTGCGAGTAATATTTCATGAAAATGTACAATTTTATAAAAATTAGTACAAAACTTTACTAGTTTTAAAAATTTGAGAAACAACAAAATCTGAAAGAATGAAAACATCTGCTTGTAGAATATTTAAAAAATTAACAAGTCTTCCAATTCTAGCATTTTCATGTTGATTTTCACAACACTTAAAATTTACGTAGAATTTCATAGATTCTGGCAGTTATATTTCATTTTTTGCAGACTTTTATACCATTATTTCCGACAGGGCAGTTTCGCAAATATTTCCATTTTCCCCGTGCCGGAAATAATTGTACAAAATTGTACAAAAGAATGAAATATAACTGCCAGATTCTACGAAATTGTACGTAAATTTCAAGTGTTATGAAAATCAACGTGAAAATGCTACGATTGAAAAACTTTTGTTAATTTTTGGAATACTCTACAAGTAAGCGGATGTTTAAATTCAAGATTTTGTTATTTCTCAAATTGTTAAGGTACTTGTTTCGCAACAGTAATGCTCAATAGTTGCAATGATATTTCTTGATGCAATATTGTTCTAAATAAATAATAGTATCGAAAGATTACAGTTTGAAGCACTGTTACATCTCTTGCACTACACTCGTGTCTACTACATAATTCTTTCAATTTTTCAGTTTTCACTGTTTATATTCTTGAAACGAAACGGTCGGTAATTTCAATTTTTTCCAGTTATTCATGCTATTATATGTATATATTTACATATTTGTGATACAAATGTCACTCACCGTCAAGCTTACAAAAGTACAATGTGTCGTCACTTACGTTTGCGCACGCAAATATCTACATAGATTTTAAAACGTAATAATATGTGTAAATAATGTTTCACGTGTAATAATAGTTTTTACGTGTTTTACACGTAATATTTCGTGTAACGTAGCAACCTTAAACATTTTTTTACAACTTTGACACGATCGATTTTAATTCAAGCACGTATTCATACCTTAAAACTAGTAGTTTCGTTAAAATTTGTACAAAATTGTACATTTTCTTAAAATACTACTTGCAATAATTTCTTGATTTAAGAACACAGCAATTTGTGGTACTATTTCGTAGATATTTATTAAGAAAATTAATGTTTCGAGCAAGATACGAAATTATATTTCAAGTAAATTTTGTGTTGATGTATAAATTTTTTCCGCTAGGGTGTCTACTCGACATTGAAACTGTGATGCAACACTCGTATTGCATTCGCATTGTCGAGCTATAGGAAATTCAATTATTCGTAAATATTACTTGATGTTTACACGGCCGTAAAGTGACTTAAATATTAAGAAATTTTATAACCGTCTTGATATCACAGATCATTCCGTACGACGACTAGGCGATTTGGACGACGACTCCGACGACGATGACGACGACGACGACCACCACCACCACCACCACCACGACATGGAGGTACGTACCCCGAGTCGAAATTTTAGGACAGTAAAAGAGGTGGAACTGCAAGTACAAATATACATTTTTATGTTGCAGCGAGACGTGGTATTGAATATATTCCACAAGAACGACGCGAGCCAAGGCGCGGGAAATGTACCGGCCGCCACGTCGACGACACAAGTAAGATGAAACCAATTTGTCCGAACAATCGCGCGTAATGAATATATGAAGATATACTAACTTTCTGTAAATATACCAACTCTGTGTTACAGATTTCACAAGAGAAGCAGGAGGAGAACAAGGAGCAGCAGCAGGAGACTCAGCAGCAGCAACAGCAGCAGCAGGAGCTACAAGTAAGAAGCAATATTAGTAAAAAAGTCAAAAATACGTGGTACAATACATACAAGTATAATACAATCGTTTCTTGACACATTTAGTTACGTATTCTTATTTGTAGATTCCAGGAGAGTCGCAACCTGCCGCCGCCTCCGTTTCCACCTCCTCCGCCGCCGCCGCCGTCAACACCGCATCGTCGTCCGAATCGACATTGGTAAGATATTCGCATCAACAATCTATTTCATACATCACGTATTACTCATACATCACATACAATTAATAACACTACATATACATGCTCATTATTAATGAAACTTATTGTGTCCTTTTGTGTTGCAGGACGAAGCCATAAACACCGACTTGCAGATGTTTCAAGCGAAACAACAAATTTTGCAGCTGAATCTGCTGAAATTAAAACTCGAGATGCAAGTGGCACGGTACGAACTGGAGAAGGAAAAGAAACGCCGTCGACTTCAGTAGAAACGAGTCATTTTTAACGCCATGTAACATTTTTTTAATATTTTTATAAACGTGCATATAAGATTACCTTCATTAGTTTGATGTTTTCAGAGCTGTCCACGATTTGGCCGATGTTTGGCCCATTCTTACGATTCACCGCCTATTGCCCCCTCCCTACCTATTCAGCTTCAGGTAGTACGATACGTCTCTGTCAAACGTGAATATTGCTTGTTTATGTTAAATCTTTTCCAGCACATGTATGTAATTACTGCCGACACACGGAGTTTAAAATGAATTACATAAAAAAAGATTTTAAACACCCGCATTTCAACAGCATTCACATTTGACAGATACGCACCTCAACAACCTGGCTTTTGTTCAGCTCTTCAAACGATATTCCGCGTGGCACAGTGCGCCATGTCCGGCGTTATGGTATGTTTTTTTATGTGGGGCCCACATAAAAAGTCTAGTCGAAAACCGGCGTAATGGTACACAAAACGAGGTACATGAAGCAATTGTTGCGGCCTTCAATACCATAACGCCGGACATGGCGCACCGTGCCACGCGGAATATCGTTCGAAGAGCTGAACTTTGCGTGCGGGAAGGAGGACATCATTTTGAACAATTTATGCATTAAATGATGAGAGTGGATTAGGCCTACCGGGGAAACCACTATAAAAAAACGCACCAAACTATCTACCGCAAGGTGGTGTGGAAATGATAGCGAGTCATTTTCCTATCACCGAAAAGAAGGAACAATTATTTGTCGGCGCGGTGTCAAACGATGGCTTATAAAATGGTTGACAATGTTGTCATCTGATCTACAGGAGAAGCCCCTGGCGAGGGGCGAGGAGCGAGGGGCAACGGCAACGGCGAGCGGTGGGAGGTGGGAGATGAGCGGCGAGCGGAGAGCGGCGGGTGACGAGCGCGCGCGGCCCGCTACGCCCACCGAGCCCGGCCTACAGTCGGAGCCTGTTTCCGCGCGTTCATTCGCTTAGACGTAATTAATAACTCAATAACTATTGTGGATTTTGCATCATGGTATCTGATTTTTCTCTTCAGCTTGCCCTAATCTATCTACATTAGTGGTGGGCGATGTTCATTCGATGTTTGGAAAATCGATGCTTTTTATCGCCACATCGATTATTTTTAATCGATGTTTTTGCTATCGAGCAAGAATCGATTATTAAGGAATAATATCGATGTTTTGTGAACTAATTTCTCTTGGCAACGCACAGATGGCATCACAGATATCTATACATTAGAGACACTAAAGGCCTATGTCCATGATAGAAATGTATAGCCAATCAACTTGCAGCTATTCCATAGAAGCTGCAAACTGATTAGCTACACATTTCTCGGAACTAGAACTTGGACCAAGTTCTAGTATCGTGGACATAGGCCTTAAGCGAACTACCCCCACCATCGAAGTCAGGAGACCTGGGGCTCTATTCCGTACATGGTGGAAGTATACTTCCGCCATGATTCCGTACACGGTTACCGATGACTATCGATATCGTTAACGACGTTTGCGTAGCTTTTTTTACATGATTGAAAAGCTGCACAAACGTCGTTAACAATATCGATAGTTATCGGTAACCGTGTACGGAATAGAGTCCCTGTATACAAGACCGTGAACTGCAGTAAATTTTAACCTCGCCGAACGCCTCACTCAAAATTGTCAACTCGACGTCGCAAGTCCGCCGACATTGAAGGTAATTTGTACATCATCTTGTCTACTTCGAAACCGATTTAACTTGTTTTTTATTTACAATCTAAGAGTCGAGGCGAGATTGTTGTTTTTACGCTATGTGATACACGGTTGACAATTACAGATATACATATATCTCACTTAATCTCGTTTCTTTTCCATTTCATCAGCGGCGCAAGAGGAAATAAGACAATCAGACTTATTGGTATATGGACAGTGTCACTCCGTGTTTCACTTTATTGAAGATTTTCAAAAACATCGTTCACAGGAGGGCGCCTGTTCAAGAGTGTCACGTTTTCGTGAAACCAATGACATTTGTACTGTTTGTCATATTTGCCATACTATTCGCGAGACTAGCTATGCACAAGATTGCTGAAACTTTGTATATTTGTAAAATGGATAAAAGGCACAAGTATAAGCATTTCTATTGTGGAAAGATACATATGTTCAATAAGAAGGTTTGGACAAGGATACGTCTAGTGTTTGGATGTTGTACCAAAAATGATGTAAGATGGATACGAATGTGAGGGATTCGTGGATCACTGGATCACTGCAGGGAAGACTATCCAAACCTTTTCGAAAATTAGTAATGCAAAGATGCAGGATACCCCGATACAAATTCAATCCAATATCAAAGGTAATAGTCTCTTGAGAGATGAAAACTGCATCTAAGAAGAAAGGAAGACTATTCATATATTTTTATAAACTCTATACTGTCATTGCAGGTGCCAAACCTATAATTGTTCGTAAAGTCGTTAGAAACGGACAACCGGAGAACACGAGCGAGGCTAGGAAGGACACTGCAAAAGTGTAGAAGAGTGAAACCTATGGAAATTAGAAATGGACAAGAAAGAAAAGCCAAAACTGAAACCATCGATCAAGCCTAAGGTATATTTTGCACGTTTTTATATACTTTCTATTTAGTTTCATCTAATTCGCTTATACGTTTGCCTCTCCGCAGAACAAGTCTGGCAAGGTAATTACCGAGGAAGGTGCAGACTTGAGCAACGAGAAATATGTCATCGAGAAAAGTTTAGCCAAACGTTTTAATTAAAAAAGGAGATGCTCGGAATATTTAATTAAATGGGAAAGCTGTTCACAGTTGGTATTTCTTGTCAGTCATCATCGCATGCATCTCTCTTATCTCGAGAGAGACCAGAGTTGTAAACGGTGTGTATTTTGAAATATTCAAAATTTTATCTAGCGAGAACAATACGTGTGAGTCTGCGGCGGTTGCGGCAACTTGAAAAATTATTTTTGAAGAATTTGAGCGGAATCTCGTCAAGCCAAAGAAGCTTAAAGCGGCGCAACAGCAGTCCAATACGAGAGTTGTCGGACGTGTAAGTTTGCCGTAGTAAAAATCGGTGATAAAAGCCGGAGGTCGAAGCCAGTAAGCCTGGACTGAGCACGGCGTCTCAATCGGGGTGAGTGATTTTACTCTTTTAAAAAGTTTAAACATTTAATTCGATAAATTGCTACAACGATATTGAATACGGTAATATACATTAGAGACACTAAACTATACATGACGGATAACCTCGTGGGCGACTGGATCGTGATCTAAGTACGTGTTACTGAAATTTTTGTAATATATTATTTTTGTAATATAACGTACGTGAGAACTCTGCTCTTACAGAGGAATTACAAGTAGATTGAATAAAAATCATGCGAATATCCGATCGACTTTCAATTCCTCTGTAAGAACAGAATTTAGGACTACATTTCTTTTGCGAATGAATGTATCCGACAAGAGTCGGATACAAATATCTCTGCAATGATACATACGAATATTCCGACAACTTAGGGTGCCGTCACATGGAGCGTAACTTGCCTAACGTAACCTGCGTATCACCAATCGCAGGATCATTCTGATAGAACCGTTTCAATAATTCTGTTGAAATAGTTCTGTGATTGGTGATACGTAGGTTGCGCTACGCAGGTTGCGCTACGCAAGTTACGCTCCATGTGAATCGAGCCTTATTGTAAAACGTTGGTCAATCTTTCTGACCATGAAAAGCTGCAAGTTGATTGGCTACACATTTCTCGGAACCAGTGCTTTTGAATCATGGATACAAAGCTAACAAGTGAGCATCAAATAAAATAAAACAGTCGTTATCTTTCTTTAGCTCTTTCTGCCCAAATGTTCGAGAGCTTCGCCATCATTTTCGCCATTGTCTACCGAGTCGACCAGCATGTCCGCAGCTATCGATACAACGGTGTCGTAAGTAAAAAATATATATTGCATCACGGTGTCGTAACTAAAAATATATATTTAATGCATAACACTTCGACATAACAATACGTACTGTTCACAGAAAAGACACGGTTAAGAAACGCACTTCCAAATTGAGAAGTCACGTTTGGGACAATTTCACAAAAGTAGACGCAGTGACTGCTCGATGCCAAATCTGTACGAAAAAATTGAAACACGCTGGAAATACAACAAATTTAATGCAACATCTTTCTCGAAAGCACCCTCTAACAAAACGCCACAGTAAAAAATCAGAAAGTGATCAAGATGATCCTTCGGAAAATGCAGAAATGCAAAGGAACGCTCTAGCACCTGTAAGTAATTCACTCGAGATCGGACGGAATTTTGCATTTGTCTATAACTTTAATAGAAATTAATAAGGCTTTTTTTTCAGATTAAGTCAGTTAACAGTTAACAAATTGATAATGTCTTTCGACAAATCCACTCATTCGCAGGTAATGATATGTATACATATATGTTGAGTTCAATATGATGAAAGATCACAATAATTACAGATTAATTATATTTTTACATTTTTGATTGTTAGATGGAGGAACATCGTCCGAAAAAATTACCAACGTCGTACTATATATGCTGGCAATCGACAATTGTCCTTTGTCCACCGTCGAAAACGAAGGATTTTGCACACTCAAGAAGACAATAGTTCCGCGGTACAAAATCCCATCAAGACGCACTATTACTCGTTACATGGACGATAAGTATGAACATTTGCATAGCATGTTCAAACGCGAGATTGCTCAAGTTACTGCATTAACACTCACGTGTGATATCTGGTCCGATATTTCAAACCGTGGTTACTTAGGGATAACGGTGCACTACTTAAATAATAATAATAAAATGAAGAGTAGATGCTTAGGCGTATTGCCGTTAGACGAAAGCCACACGGCACAGTATCTTTCACAGATTCTTGTTGAGGGAATTCAATCCTTTGGAATCCATCGAGAAACCGTGACAGCGATCGTGACTGATAATGACGCGAACATTAAAAAAGCAGCAATCGATTGTTTTGGTGCTTCCAAACATCTTGAGTGTTTTGTTCACGCTATGTCGCATATTGTGCCCGATGCCATAAGTGCTACGCCTGAGGTTGAACAAGCAATCGCAAAAGTAAAAGTTATTGTCACACTAACGAAACGTAGCGTCGTCGTTTCGGACGAATTACGGCGTCTGCAAAAACGGGATGGAAAAACGGAAGCCACACTTCTCAAATTTAAACAAGACGTTCCTACGAGGTGGAATTCGACTGTGATTATGATTGAGCGATTTCTGGAGCTTCACGAATACGTATATCCGATATCTCTTAAGTGCAAAGGGTCCGTAGAAATGCCTAGGCGCGAAGAACTCGATTTATTGCGGGATATAGTTTTAGTTTTAAAACCTGTGGAAAATGTAATAACCGAGTGCAGCGGAGATACATATGTCACATCGAGTTTGATAATTCCAATTATCCGTTGTATGATGATCGCTATCAGGGCACGCAGTCCGTGCACTAAAATAGGGCAACAGTTCCAAGAAAAACTTTTATCAAAATCATATCGTCGATTTAAAGATTATGAGTCTCGCGAACTGCTTGCGATTTCGACCATTCTTGACCCGCAATTTAAGAAGCTGCATTTTCAAAAGCCTCTTCTCGCTGCGACTGCAATCACGAAGATCAATGCAATTATTAAACATCCAAGCAAAGGTCCTACCATGCAAGTGATGGAGGATGAAAATAATTCGCAGATAGCAAACGATAGCGTATGGAGTTTTCACGATAAACTCATTTTCGAGAATAAAAGGGTATCTTCCGAATGCGACGATCTCGCTCTCGAACTTAGACAGTATTTGAATCAGCCGGTTGTGTCGCGAACCGAAAATCCCATCGAATACTGGAATAAGTTGGGAGTTGCATATCCGACACTACATTCCTGTGCTCTAAAATATTTAAGCATTGTTGCTACATCCGTTCCGTCAGAGAGATTGTTTTCAAAAGCCGACGCAATTAAGGCTGAACGTCGTAGTCGACTTACGGGAGACAGACTTAATAAGTTGGTATTTCTTAGTTCCCTCAACAAAGAATATTGGCATATTTCATAAACAGCGTTTGTAACTTTAAGTTTCTTAAAGTGATAATATTCTTTTATTCCTCAAATAATACCGATACATTGATTATTTATAAACTTGTATTATCACTTTAATATAGCAAATACAGTTATCTATAATATCGTAGTCAACTTACGGGAGACAGACTTAATAAGTCTCTCTCCCGTAAGTTGGTATTTCTTAGTTCCCTCAACACAAAGAATATTGGCATATTTCATAAACAGCGTTTGTAACTTTAAGTTTCTTAAAGTGATAACTTGTGTACTGTATTTGCTGTGATTTTATGTTTAAGCTGTTAGTCAGATTAAGGCTGAACGTCGTAATCAACTTACGGGAGACAGACTTAATAAGTCTCTCTCCCGTAAGTTGGAATTTCTTTGTTCCCTCAACAAAGAATATTGGTAGATTTCATAAATAGCGTTTGTAACTTTAAGTTTCTTAAAGTGTTAACTTGTATTATCACTTTAATATAGCAAATACAATTATCTATAATATCGTAGTCAATATCGTAGAGACTTAATAAGTCTCTCTCCCGTAAGTTGGCATATTTCATAAACAGCGTTTGTAACTTTAAGTTACAACGCTACGATAATATAAATAACTGTATTTGCTGTGATTTTATGTTTAAGCTGTTAGTCAGATTAAGGCTGAACGTCGTAGTCAACTTACGGGAGACGGACTTAATAAGTATCTCTCCCGTAAGTTGGTATTTCTTAGTTCTCTCAACACAAAGAATATTGGCATATTTTATAAACAGCGTTTGTAACTTTAAGTTTCTTAAAGTGATAAAGTTATCATTGACTGATAACTTGTGTACTGTATTTGCTGTGATTTTATGTTTAAGCTATTAGTTTAAGAAGCGCGACCTCCCACAGTGAGAAATGAAAGTCAGAAAGACGTTTTTCTGACTTTCATTTCTCACTGGCTAATGATCTCACTGTACAAAAAATTTATATGAATAATTAACATCTATATATATAAGCACCGGGTGTCTGTCTGTCTGTCTGTCTGTCTGACCGCGAACTCCTCCTACATTTGTGGACCGATCTTCCTGCAACTTGGCTCAAAATTTTCCAAATTTTTCGGGGATTGTTACTATGGGGTTTTTTTTCAAGTTTAGCCCACCCACGCACCCACCCACGCATTCAAAGTGTTTTTTTGGTTTCACCGGGAACTTCTCCTGCATTTGTGGACCGATCTTCTTGCAACCTGTCTTAATATTTTTCGGGGAAGGCCGCTAAGGGGTTTTTTTAACCACGTAATCGCACTGTTTGTTTTTGTCGGACTGCGCATGCGCAAATGATCCTTTGCGCATGCGGCCTGCGCATGCGCAAATGATTTTTCAAATTTTTTAAGGATTGTGACGATGAGGTTTTTTTTTCAAGTTTTGCCCACCTACGCACCCACCCACGCATTCATACTCTTTGTTTACTCCTCCTACATACCATCGCATTCACAGTGTATAATTTTTTCGCTCAACAATCTTAAACAACATTTCTTCAAAATTAAAAGGAATTTGGCGAAAGAGATTTTATAGTAAGTACGATGATCTGGAATGCAATTTGATGGAATGAAAAAAAAGGGGGCAAAAAATATTATATTAGAGAATAAAAATAACAAGAAATGACTATGGATAGAAAAAGGATTAATTATTAATGATATAAAATATAATCTTGATTAATGATATTACTAGATTTTGAGCCCGCGCGAAGCGCGGGCGAAAAAGCTAGTATATGATATATGCACAAGAATTTTAATAACATGGTCTTCTTTTAATACCTCTAAAAAATACAGCTTAAGTTTTTAAAATTTTAACCTACCTTTTTTTGTTAACGCAGGAGAATCCTTTATGGATACCCGGGACCCCCTGGGAGGGGGTTTTGTTGACTAAACCCGGGTTATGTGGGACTGCCCGTCAGAGCGAGGTGCGCGCCAAGATGTAGTTTGGCGCGCGGGCTTACCCACTAAACTCCTGCGGTGGCCTGCACGGTGCTTTGACTTTTGGGGGGACGGCCGGGTATTGACGGAGTCATTCCTTCCGGACCGCCCCCCGCACCGGCCCGCCGTTGGTCTGGCGGGCCTTCGCGCTACCTTCCCCCGGTGACGTTGGGGGGAGGGCTCCCCCCCACGGGGGAGCCCTCTTCTCTTTTGGACGGGAGAGGCGGCCACCACCTCTCCCGTCCGCCTCCGATGGAGGCCGGGCCTGACGGGAATCCCAGCCCGTCGGACCCAAGTCATCTCTCCCGATGACATTGGGGGAGGGCCTACGCCTCACCGCTATCCGCGCGGTGATCTGTCCTCCGCGAGAGGGGGAGGGGGTATCGTCCGCGGGCTTGTGGACGACCCCTCCCCCGCCCGTCATGGCGGTACAGGCGGCAACAAGGTGGGGGGCGGAGCGGGAGCAGAGGCGCGGGCGAGCAATCTCGCTCTGCTCCGCGTCAACGGGGGGGAGGCTGGGGGTGATAGTGTTCCCCCGCCTGCTCGTCCCCCACTGGTCCCCGCTCCATCCCCCGCGGGCGGAGAGGGGGCACCTCACCCCTCCTCTCACGTTCCGCCGCCTCCTTCTGCGAGAGAGTCCTCTCTGCGAGAGAGGATTCTCTCGCAGAAGGAGGCAAATGCATGCCAGGACCTCTCCTCCTCCAGGGTGGCGGCAATCACCGCTGGAAGGGAGAGGTCCTGTCCTACTTCGTGGACGAGCACTGCCCGCTCGTCCGCCAATGCGGGGCACTCTGCCAGCGTATGCTGGGCAGTGTCGTCCACGGCCTCAGTGGTGGCAGCCGGGAGTCTGCTCCCTTCCGATCCGACTCAGGTAGTGGCCGAAGCACCCGTGGCCAGTCAACACCTGAGTCATCCGGAAGGACAACCCGCCCCATCCTTCATCGATCCATTGGTCGAGGAGGGGCCCGATTGCCCCGACGACGCGCAGCCCCGGGGTGTTGTTCCCCGAGGCTACTAACGCCTCTCACCATTTGGCGATTGCGCGCCGCCGGTGCCGGAGTCTTTGCCGAGCACGGTGGTTCGCCGCCCATCTGATCAGCCTCCCCCCTGAGTCGCGGCTTTCGAGGAACATATTGTAATGTTCCTCCGCCACGATCTCCATTGGGGGGGGACCGGCGATCACCGCCGCCGCGTTGTACGCAACGGTCCGGTAGGCTCTCGCGATCCTCCCGGCAATCGGGCGAAAGGCACGCGCCATCTTGGCGCGCGCATGCCTCGATGCCGCGAGTTTCGTGGCCTAAACTGGGGCCCCGTAGAGCGCTACCGAACTGACCGAATTTGTGTACAGCCGACGCACCTTGCCGTCCGGGCCGCCCAGGTTGGGGAGAAGACGACCAAGCGTGGTCGCCCGCTCCCGAGCGCGCCCGGTCGCCCCGGCAAGGTGGCTCTCAAAGCTCCATCGGTCGTCGAGCGTCAGTCCGAGATACTTCATCTCGTGACTGACCCCGACGAGGGTTGCATCCACAGTTAGGGATAGTCCCTCGGGTGGCTTTTTCCAAGCCCTGCCGTGTGCTCCGTCGTGGAACATCACGGCCTCGGTCTTGTCGAGTGCCACCTCGAGGCCCAGACTGCGGATGGAGCCTATGACCGCTCCCACTGCCACCTCTCCTCTGGAGAGGGACTCTCTCCAATTGCAGTCCCCGGCCGTCACAAGTGTGTCGTCTGCATAGCAGACGACGTGACGGTCGGGGGGAGGGGAATTCATAGCACCGAGTCGTACCCCAGATTTCAAAGGAATGGTCCCAACACGGAACCCTGGGGCACTCCTCGGCGCAGTCTCTCCCGCCGGCGCATCCCGCCTTGATCGATGTATTCTACCCACCTGTCTCTCAGGTAGTCGCTCACGACGCGAATGAGGTACGGCGGTACCCCGTGGCGACTCTCTGATATGTCTCCAGGGGAGGGTGTTGAAAGCGTGGGAAATATCCAAGGATATAGCCAACATCACCCCTCCCCCCCTGGGACGTCATCTCTTCAGAGAGGGCCTGAATTGATCGCGTCCACCGTTGACAGGCCCTCTCTGAATCCAAACTGGGCCCCGCTGACGTTGGGGCCCGTCTGGGACAGGTGCTGGACGAGGCGGTTAACGAGCAAGCGCTCAAACAGCTTGCCCGCTTGTCCAGAAGGCATATAGGTCTATACGCCGACGAGAGGGAGATCCTTCCCCTCCTTCTGGAGGAGTACCAATGTGGCACTCCTCCACTGCGGGGGGAAAGTCCCTCTCCTAAGGCACGCGCTGTACATGCGTGCGTATTGCCCCGCGAGGACGCCCATGGACAGGGCGTGGACCTTCTTATGGAGGCCGTCAGGACCCGGGGCTGTGTTGCCCCTGAGGCCCTTCCTGGCGGCCTTCTGGAGTTCCTCCGGCTGGATGTCGAGGGAATCGTCCCAGTCGGGGGAGTCTTCCCCCGGCTATAAGGGCGGTCCCCCGTCCTCCCCGATGTCGTCGGGGAAAAGGGTCTGTACCACCCTTTGGACGAATCCCACGTCCAGCCGCTCCGTTAGCGGGGGCGCCCATGTCCTCAGTTTCCCAAGTACCATTTTGTAAGGGCGCCCCCACGGATCTTCCTAGGAAGTTGAGGAACTCCGTCCACGCCCGGCCCTTCGCCACTTTGATGGCCTTCCTGAGGGCCGCCTTTGCCGCAAGGTAGCCCTCGTTCTCCCCGGCCGCCTGCTCGCCCCTGCGCCTGCAGCGGGCGAATCTTCTCCGCTGGAGGACGGCTCGCCGGCGCAAGTCGGCAATTTCGTCCGTCCACCAGTGGACGGCCCGCCGAGGCCGAGTCTTGGATCGGGGCATCGCAGCGTTGCACGCTGCTGTTAACGTTGCCCCGATCCACTCAGCCTCTTGCAGGGGGTCCGTCTCATGGGTCTCGGGGAAAGTCCCCCGGACCCAGCAGGCGGCCTCGATGGAGGCCATCAGGGCGTCCTCGCGGAGCCTCTTGATGGCCCATCGCGGTCGTGACTCTCGGCGGCGCCCGAGTGACGCGAGTACACCGAGTTCCACCGATATGTATCGATGATCCGATAAGTTCTCGGTGTCTCGCATCACCCTCCACAAGGTGACTAGTCGCGCGGCGGAGGGGGTCGCCCAAGTGAGGTCTATGATGGACCTCCCCTCCCGCCGCACGCAGGTGGAAACCCGGCCCTGGTTCAACAAGACCAGGCCGAGCGCCGCCGCCCACCTTTCCAAGACCTCGCCCTTACTGTTGGTTCGCCGGGAACCCCAAGCCGTACTCCAGGCATTGAAGTCCCCGGCGACCAGGACCGGCTTCGGACTCAGGCGACGTACAGATCGCTCAATGTCCGACAGCCAGTCCTCGAAATGGGCGAGATTCTTGGTGGGTCTTAGATAAACCCCCACGACCGCGATAGGCCCCCACTGCATGATGACGTGCCTATCGCCCCTTTCCAGGGCGGTCGTGGTGGGCGCACCCTGCCACGACCGCCAATATATGGCGATAGTTCTATCTCTGCGCCCGCCCAACCAACTCGGGTGGTTAGGCGGGACGCGACTCGGCTCGGCCACTACCGTCAACGTGTAGCCCCCCTCCGCCAGGGCCTGCATAAGCAGGTCCTGGGCCCCGGGGGAGCGGGCCACGTTGGCCTGAAGGAGGCCGAACCCCCCCATTATCCGAGAGGTAGAGGAGCCAGGCATTATCGCTCTGTGCTCCCCTCCTCCAAAAGGGGCTCGACCTCCATTGCCACCTCATCGGTGGCCCTCACTACCTCCTCCACTCTATCGCGGGGGGCGCGGGGGGTGCGCTGCGGGAGAGGTTTCCCCCATCAGTAGCAGCCCCCGCCCCTTCCGCTCTTGTCTCCGTTTGGGGCCCTGTCTCAGCCCCGGAGCCGCTGCCAGTTGGCTGTTTAGGCCGCTCCCGACCTGGCTCCCTCCCTCTGACCGCCTTCTGGGAGCAATTTTTCGCCCCCAAAAGGTGTCCTGCCGGCCTTCCCTGGTCCGCACATAGCGGACATTTAACCTTAGACCGGCAGTCGCGGGAGATGTGATCGGGCTCGCCGCACCGATAACACCTCCCGCTTCTGTCCGTGGGACTCGGGCATGTCCCACGGGTGTGACCCTTCTCTAGGCATCTATGGCACCTAAGTGGCCGCGCCTCTAGAAGGGTCACCTTCACCTTCGACCAGCCGATTATAAGGTGCCCCATCTGGGACACCTTTTTAGCCGCGGCTAGGGGCAGGCGCAGCCATAGACTCCCCTGTCTCCTCGGTGGTCGTTGTATGTCCCCATGCTGCACCATGGGGACCTCGCAGCCGGCCGCGGTTGCTACGGCCTGCACTGCCTCGTGAGCCTTAATCGACGGCTATAGCCCGTTTAGGCGGATTTCCGCCTTTTTGATAGGCCGATCAACCCGCGCGCCCTTTTCGGCATGAAGGGCTTCCTTCATGCGGGCCGCGAGCAGATCGGCCTTGGCCGCGTGGTCCAGTGATGCCAGCTTGGACTACCAGCTACATCGCTGTCGCGATGGTGGGGATAGAGTGGGGATAGCACGTCTGCGCGCGCATGCACGCACACAGGCGACACGCCGCATATACGTGTGCGCTCGACGCTCGGCTAGCTTCGAGTAGCAGGAGAGAGTAAACAACATCTTCTGTCTTCTTCTCTCTCGAGCTATAGCTGATGCGTCGTCAGTCGATCAGCCGCGAGAATTGTATGGCTCGACTATTAGATTTCGCGTGTCCTTTTCTATTAGGCGCGACACACTGTCGTGTCTTTTCATAATTTCTAATTACAATGTAAAAAGTAATGATATTAAAACTTATGCTCATGAAAATGTAAAGAAATAAGGATAGAAAAGAGAATAAAAATTAAAAAATTAAGAAATCCACTCTTGGCCAACGTGTACGTCTTTTTCTCCAAAACGTCTCATTTATAATTTACTAATAAAATTGTATTTTACACAAATATCTAGTTATGCCTTAGTTTTGTTATTTAAATTTTATTTTTAAATCACGCGACCCTTTGCTATTTATGATACGAAAGATATTTTATGCTCATGGTTTTGCGTGTTACGACATTGTACCCCGGGAAAAAATGGAGGAGATCTGACCATGTCTGATTTGATAAAATGAGATAAAACGAGATCTGAAATTATAGTAAAGTCAGATCTGATTGGACAAAATTTTATCTCGTCAGATGTGCATGGCCAGATCTGATC